GACCGCCCCCTGGCGGGCCAAACGGAGCGCTGGGCTGGGACCGACCGACTGGAAAGGAAAGGGAGAAGGGCAGACACACCCAGACCCCAGTTAGATCTCCTCAGGCAGCCTGAACACAGGAGCACTCAAGTTAGACGCGGAGAGCGCCCTGGGCGGAAACACCACTGGTCCCTAGGTACACAGGCACAGAATTGTCAGGTCCTGTGATGGATGGCTTGTGTTTAGATGTCCTCCAACACCTCATGAGGTTATAAAGTGCAGCTTTTTCAGAGGTGGCTGGAACTAGTGTCTAATGCTGGAATTGATTCATAATGCAATGCTAGGCTCCAGGACACTAGGATTAAGGGTGTGAGTGCTACCAGCCCTAAGTAGTCTAGATAAGATAAAAGGGACAGAAAGATGCTGTTAAGGTCCCTTGTTGCTTTTGTTACGGGCCATGAACTGTTTCTCCTCTGTGATGCCACCCTGCCTTGGAGCCAGCCAATTATGGAGTGAACCCTCTACAGACTCTGAGCTAAATAAACCTTTAACTTTGGGTGTCTGGTATTTTGTCTCAGCAATGAGAAAAGCAACTAAGACCAGTCCCATCTGAGACCAACACACATGGACACACACACGCTGAGATACACAGGAAGCAGACACAGAACTGCAGACACACAGAGACTCCAGAGTGGCACACAAGCTTGGACACAGCCACAGGGATAGGGACACAAAATTGGGCTGGAGTCTCAGAGCCACACCAGGGTTTAGACACGGCCAAGCACACAGACAGACACCCGCCAGAAGCCACAAAGCTTCAGACACCCAAATGAGCAGGTGTCTAGATGCTGTAGCTCACAGAGCTACCTGCAGATGTGGCTCAGGTTCAGACTGGCAGAGGCTGCACAGACAGACACACCCATAACCTCCTTGCAGCACGATTCCGTGAATGCTTCTGTCTGCTCTGTCTTGCCGTCCATCTCATCATCTGTCCTCCTGTCCTCCCATCTTCTCACATACTCATCCCTCCATCCATCTGCTGGCCTTCCTTGAGGCCCATTGTGTTCCAGAAGAGAGCAAGGCCAGCCTTCCAGGGACTCAGTCTCCAACCTCTTGAACCCTGGCACCTCTGGACCCCCGGCCTCCTTTCCTTCCTCACCCACCATGAGGCTGGAGCAAGGAGGCTCCTTAGAGAGACAAAGGCCTGTGGGTCTCCCCCAGCCCTTTTTCTGAAACAAGTTTTACCTCACAGATGGATTTGGGCTGTAGAGTCCGCCCCATCCTCTGTTCCTGAGTGACACATGGTAGGGGCACACACACTTGTGTTGCCTTCATGGGTGTTTGTGTCTGGTTGGGTGGACTCTGCCTGGAATCTCAGGGAAAACCCACAGTGTAGGGTGGGCCCTGCCAACCTGCGGAGGTGCCCCTAGGTGGGCTCTGTGGCTTGCCCTTTTATTGATACCACTACGGAAACTGTTCCCTGCAGTTGGAAGTTTCGAGGGCAGAGCCATGAGTGGCTGTCAGTCAGGAGGCTGGGGTTCAATTTCTGGCTCTGCTCTTGATGGCTGTGTGGCTGTGGCAGGTATTTTGGCTGTGTGGGCCTCCATTTCCTCCTCTGAGAATGGGGGCAAGAATCCTTCCTTCATGGGCCTGAGCAGAATGTGACCAAAATGCCAGAGACTGGATGCCTCTTTGTGTGTGATGAACAGGCAGTAACTGGGGTCTCTGAGCCTTGGCACAGAGATACTGAGTGTCCTGGGTCATGGCCCCAGGGTACAAGGACTCTCAGAGAGACAGCTAGCTTGGGAGGCTTGCCCAGAGGAAAGGACCATCTTTGCACTTGTCTGACCTTTTCCATTTGTAAAAGACTCAATCTTTTCCACCTAGGTTCTTTTTCCTTCCCAGTGTGCACCTGGGGGTGCTCAGAGGACAAGAGCTCAGGAGGCTTTGTTCTCTTCTCACCACAGTGCTCCCAAATTGTAAATCTGAAGAATGGTCAGCATCCTGTTACTGTAAAGGTTAATATGACTATGTTCTATAATGGCTCTGTGATTATGATGGCCCTTCCTACCTTCCACAGGCCTGGCCTTGATGCATCTCCCATGGCAGGGGTGGCAGAGAGACCCAGGCTTAAATGTTGGCCTCAGCACTGTGTAGTCCTGTGCACATCCCTTAATCTCGGTGCCTCAGTTTCCATCTATGAGAATGAGGATGATCATAGTGTCCACATTGCAAGTGTCCTGAGGATCAAGCCAGGTAATACATGGAGAGAAATTAGAACAAATAATGGTGCTCAGTGGTGCTGGCATTGAAAACACCTTTCAGGTTATCTCAGGTGTCCAGCGCAGGGTGAACTTGCTGGTCCATCCGGCACCCAGCCTTGGTCCCACTTCATTCCTTTCCCACTTTCCCCAGAACTGTGCCCATTGGGTGACTTAGGACCTGAGCAACCCTAGTGGGGGCCAATTGGGGTCAGGACTGGCTTCTGAGAAGGTGGCAGGAAGAGGACCGAGCCCAGGCTGGGCCCAAATACCTGGATTTCAGCCACAGTGACCTCAGTTTCCCCATCTGTTGAGGAGTAGGAAACCCTGGCCTGTCTTATCTCACTAGAAAAGTAAAGATTCCAAAGTCTGTTTGAGGGAGGCCAGAGGTGGTCTTGAGCTCGAGATCCCAGACAGTAGTCAAGAGCCCTTCATCGCCCCTTGCAGGGGCCCTGCTGTGCAGTGGTTAGAATAGGAGGCCGCTGGGGTCACTTCTGGCTGTGTGATCACTACTGGGCCTTTTTGAGCTCATTCCTTCTCTGTAACAATGAGTCCCCACCTCTGGGGTCAAAGATAATGTTGGTAGCATAAATACTCAATGCTGCCTAACTACTTTCTGGTAATGCCACCATTGGTAAGGACTGCTCCCTACAGAAAGCATAGCTCCCACGGGTGGGTGGGGCAGCAGCAGACGAGGCAGGGCATTTGGTGGGAGGTGCTTGAAGGGCCCAAGTCTCCCAAAGACGTCACACACACTGGTCCCGAATCTCTGAGTCCCCCCAGGAGAGAGGCTCAGTCTCTTACTTCCTAAGAATTTTCAGGCCTCAAGGTGGAGGCAAAGGTGAATTTTTAGAAGTCTAAATTGCCTGTTGCCAGCCAGGTCTTTATTGGCATCCCACAATATGATTTTTATTATGGGTTAAATGAGGAAATGTGCTCAGAAAGGTGAAGTGACTTACTTACCCAAAGCCACACAGTCAGGAGTTGGCTTAGCTCCAAAGCCCACGCTCCCTCTTCTGCAATCCAGAGGTCATTTCTGTCTCTCCCTGCCCCCAAGGGGGGCTCCCAGGGACCTCATGTTCAGTTCTGTGGCCTGTAGCAACCTGTGGTGAGGTGTAGAAAGATTGCTCAATAAATACCTGTGGCATGAGAGGGAGGGATGAGTTAGAGAGAGCTGCATGGAAATACAGAAGGGTGAAAGGAAAGGAAGAAGGTGAAGGATCAGAGAGGTTGGGCAAGTTGCCTGAGGTCACACAGTATGGCCATTCCCCAGGGGTGAGGGCCCTCAGGCCTGAGGTGACTTGAGCAGCTGAAGTGTGAGGGTGGGTGAGCCGTGGGTGGGACTGTGACAGAGCATTTGGAGGCCTCCGCTTTTCTACCAACCAGTGACTGATGAGGATGAGCACTGTCTGGCCTGGGGGAGCCCAGGGCGGGCAGGGTGGACACCCCTGAGGTGATGGGACTTGGTGAAAATGTCAGGGGCAGGCAAGACCTTTTGGGCCCTTTGAGAGAGTGGCTGCCCAGGGCAGAAGCTGGGTGTCCCAGGCGTGGGGGCAGAGAACAGGGTTCTGATCTGGGAGACCTGCTAATGTGCCCCTTTTACTGTGGTACTGGGGACATAGTCAGGGCTTACAGTGTGGTATTTCAGGACACATGATGTGTGGTGATCAGATCAGGGGGATTGGGTATTTATCGCCTCAAGGCTTTATCATTTGTGTTGGGATCATTCAGGCTTCCCTCTGCATGGTAATTCTGAAATACGCAAGGCATCGTCAGCCAGGGCTACCCTGGAGTGCTATAGAACACCAGAAATGACTCCTGCACCACCGAAGCCCTGTACCAGTTCTGTCCTCTCCTCTCCTCTCTGAGCCTCCTCCCCAGCCTCTGGTAGCCATTGTTCTACTCTCTGCTGCCCAGAGAGGCTCTGTTTAGCTCCAGTTCTGAGCAACGCAGACACCAGCAAGCGGGAGATTGGGGCTGGGGGCAGAGTCCTGACCATTTCAGGAATCAAGGTCAGCCCTAGCGGCCATGCCTCACTTGATTGGCATGTACTCCTAACCAAGATGGCCTTCGGACCCAGCAACCCCCTGAAGGAGCAGAAGACCTTAGCCCCTGGAGAAGAAAGGCCAGAGGTAGCAGGCACCAAGAGCCAGGGACAGGGATGGCAGGAAATCCACACATGCAGGCCCAGTGTGCTGGCGTTGGCCACAACCAGAGCCATTTGGGGGAAACAGTCGTGTTCAGTCCAGCCTCCCAGGGCAACTGCCAGGGATCAAGATGGTGACCCAGAGCTGTCCTGTGAACTGAGGGACTTTGTGCCCTGCACATCAGTCGCTCCTCACTCTACTTCTCCCAGCAGCATCTGGGCTCAGCTCCAAGGGCACAGGTTTGGGAGTGCGATAGACCGACGGGATCAAATTCAGCTCTCCCTTTACTTTCCTGTGTTATCATGGGTGGGTCATGGCACTTCTCCAGGCCTCAGTTTCCTCATCCATAAAAGGGGGTGATGGTAACACTGCCTACCTCACAGGCTTTTTGTGACGATAGCACCACACTTGGTAGGCAGGAAGCACTCAGA